GAAAATTGGCAAGAGTTTCACTAGGAAAACATGACAACAAAAGTTCAGAATGATTGAATCAACATTGGCAACACAGACTACATCAGACCTAGCAAGGTTGCTGGTCGACTGCCAGCGCCGACCGTGTGCCAGCACTACTTGGTCGACCGCGCTCCAGCAGAGCAGAGTCGCGACTTGCCAACGTTGCCAGTCCGCGGTGTGCCAACGTTGTAGTAAGTCGGCTGCACAGCGTTGCATCCGCGGGACAACAGTGCACCTGCTTCACAGGTGCGTCCACCTGGTTGGCGCTCAACGCCTCGTCACATGCCCAGCGCAGACACTCCACTGGTGACGGCGCCCACCAGCCACGTCGACCTCGGGATACCACCCCCGAGGTCGTCCTCGCAGAAACCACCCCGGCGACCTTCGCCCACGTCGCCCGGGTATCCTGGTCGACCGGGTATCTGGCGGCCCCCGTGGCCCCCCGGTCGTCCATCCGCGGCCACCGCGGTCCCCGCGGTCCCGTGGTCCCGTGGTCGTCCCGCGGCCCCGCGGTTCTCCCGCGGCCTCCCGCGGTCCCGCGGTTCTCCCGCGCTCCCGCGGTCCCACGGTTCTCCCACGGCCTCCCGCGGCCCCGCGGTTCTCCCGCGGTCCCGCGGTTCTCCCACGGCCTCCCGCGGCCCCGCGGTTCTCCCGCGGTCCCGCGGTCCCACGGTTCTCCCGCGGCCTCACGCGGCCCCGCGGTTCTCCCGCGGTCCCGCGGTTCTCCCGCAGCCTCCCGCGGCCCCGCGGTTCTCCCGCGGTCGGCTCCGCCCAAGCGAGGACGGGGCCTAACACTACTCCCGTTGACAGACGAGCAGCTGGAGCAACGGAATCACGGGCGACTGGCGTAGCAGATTCGCTGGGCTACCGGAGCAAGGGTGACCTCCAGACAACTGGCGCTGCTGGCGTCACGACGGCTACCTCCGTTCAACCTCCCCCAACTGTCCCACACCCATTTCACACACCCTCCTATGCATCCCTAGCTCCACTCCCACGACACCCCCCTAGCGCCACTCACGCGGCTCCCACACATCCACCCCCCTCAGCGGCAGCTGCAGCAGTGGGAGACGGAGGAGGAGGAGCAAGATACGGCTCACACACCCGCCACCCCCATACCAGCCACCCCCATACCCGCCACCCCACGGCTGCATGCGCAGCAGGGAGGCGAAGGAGAAGGGGGGGGGGGGGGCGGAGAGAAGGCTGCGCGCGGGTCCCCAGGGGCGGCGCGCGGGTCGACGGGGGCGGCCGCAGAGGTCCCCGGGGGCGGCGCGCGGGTCCACGGGGGGGGGGGGGGGGGGGGGGCGGGTTGACAGGGACGGGCGCGCGGGTCCCCGGAGGGCGCCGCGAAGGGCGACGGGGAGCCGCGCACGGGTCCCTGGGGGCGCCGCGACGGACGACGAAACCGCCGCGCACGCCCAGGGTGCGCGGCGGGTGGCGCGTGGCGGGCAGGAAAAAACGTCGCGCGCCACGGGGCGCGCAACACAGAGTACAGCAGCGGAAGCATGTGGGCCCACAGGCCAGGAGCGTAGACGCTCTAATAGCATGTCAAGAAAGCAAGTAGGAATGAGAACAGCAGAAGAGGGTTTTCACTAACAAACAATGGGATACATATAGCAAACCCTAGTTGGGCTGTACTCACTATAGAGTACCCCATTACAGACTAGACAAATAACACATTCTGACATAAGTATACACTAAAAATTGTTATACAAACATCTATCTGATTATTTTAGCACACACACCAATTGCTGACAAAGAATAACCTTGTGCAGGACATCTCATGAAGGGGGTACACCAGGGTGCAACGGAAGTGAGGGGGGGAGAGAGAGAGAGAGGGAGGGAGAGAGAGAGAGAGGGGGAGAGAGAGAGAGAGAGAGAGGGAGAGAGAGAGAGAGAGAGAGAGAGAGAGAGAGAGAGAGAGAGAGGAGAAAGAAGAAGATGTGTGCGGCGGCTGAAGCTGCTAGCGCACGTGCTTCTGGAGCAAGTGGCTCACGTGCAACTGGAGTAACAGGCGAGCGGTGGTGCAGCATAGAGACGTCAACAGCAGCATCAACCACCCTCTCTACCCCCGCTCACGGCCACCACCCTCATCACCTCCCCACGGAAAAAGCAGCTGGAGGGGCACGGAGGCGTGGCGGGTGCAGTTGCTGGCACGATGGCCCGCTACTGCAGTTGGCGGGTTGGTACTTTGGTGCTGCTGGTATGCGCTGGTGTGTTGCTGGTGCCAGCGCGCTGGCTTGCTAGTCGTGAGCGACGGACAAACGAACGACGGGCGGCAGCGCGACGGATGGAGAAAAGTCGAGGGTCTGAGAAGATGAAAAGAGAACGTTCAGCCGAGGACGGAGAAAAGTTGAGGGCAACAAGAGTAGTGCGAAACATGCCATGCAACTCACACGGAAACTGACGCAGTTAAATATACTAGCCGCAGAATGCATAGAATACAAGCGGGAACGACCCAACGAAACCAGGAGAACGGCGGAGCCAGATTTTCTTGTGCAGGATGTCCTGAAGGAGGCAGTGGAGAATTCCAGTAGGTGGAGCTCGTAGTCGCGCTGTGCCGCAATATGCATCAGTACCCAAAGAGTGGTCATCTTTGGGGTGTACGAGAAGGTAAAAAATAAGCCCACCCTCTTTCGCTCACTGAAGCATTTCGCCGCATAGCGTGCCCTGAAGACACATGCGACTATCCGGGTGGACGCTTCATCTTGACGATCCACATGCGTCGACGTAGGTGCCTCTGGACGTCCACGATGCCATATCTGCATCTATGGTTGCTAACCACTGAGAGGCCAAGGGTTCCGAGACTGCCTCAGTGTAAGTGTAAGGAGTCGATTTGTCAAGAGGTTCAGGGTCACCCTCAAGGGCTATGGAACAGAGATGAGGAGCAGCATCTGCAAGGAAAGCCAGTTCGAACAACTTGTCCCGTAAGACGTCACCGCCAAAGACAGGCGCACCTTCGACGTACGGAAGAGGGGCAGGGTCAGAGATCAGCTGAGTGGTGTAGCCAAGGCGGTGGGTAGAGGCAAAGTCAGTGTCAGCAGCAACGAGAGTAGAGACAGATGACGGAGGAGCTGTAGGGTCAGTGACGAGAGAGGGGTTAACACGAGAGAATATAGGACGAGCAGTACGGAGGAAATCTGAGAACGGACGAGGGGGGACAAAAAGAGACGACTAAGGAGGGGATAGGAGAACAGGAGGAGGGGCATAAGGGGGGAGAGAGCGGATGCTCATAGAGTGAAAACCAAGAACAATAAACGAGTGACGAGTACGAGGTGGACGATGAAGAAAGGGAGAAGAGAGTAGAGGTGGAGGCAGCTATGAACGAGGAAGAAAACAGGCTGGGATTGAGTCAGGGATAGGCGGCAGTGAGTAGGAGGCGAAGGAAAAGAAAGAACAAGAGACTGAAGATTAATCATCGGAGGCGAAGATGGATGCTACGGCTGCTGCTGCTGCCGCTACTGATGATGCTGCTTCTGCTGCGATGTTGCTGCTGCTGCTGCTGCTGCGACCGGCGCCGTCCCACCCCACTCCCAGGGTCCAACCTCTCGGAAGTACCACCAGAGCCGGAACCTCGAGCGTTAGCACCACCGGAGCTAGCACCATGAGCGTCAGCACCTGCAGAACCAGCACCCCCACAGCCGGCACCCACCACTGTTGGGTGGCTAGTGTGATGGGGCAAAAGCGGGCTGCGACAGATGGCGAATGGAAGGGGGGTGTGTGAGCCACGGGGGGGGTTTTTCTAAGCGCGATAGGAAGGGTCCACAGGGGCCTTGCTAAAACGCGACATGAGAGGGGGGTCTGCGAGGGCCTTCTCAAGGGGCGACGGGAGGGGCTCTCAGGGCGCGCTAGGGTAGGAGCTAGGAACGAGCTAGAGGCGGATCCAACTTTCGGATACCAGGCCGATACGACGACCTCGCCTTCTGATCGTGTTTCGTGTCGCCTTCGGACTCTGCAGCCCCAGATATGCACCCAACCTCATCTTTCAAGGTCTCTGCCAAGCTGGGTCTCTTGCTATATTAATGTTTGCTCAGTGCTCTGCCTCGTTATTGTCCTCCGTACACTCTATTCATTTAAAAATCATAAGAGAAGAATTGAAGTTTCGATATAAGCTGAGCCCGTGTTGGCAGGAGTGGATCCTAGAAGTTCGATTCCCAGCCGCGGGTGTAAATATTCCAGAGAATTTTCGAGTCGTGACTACCCAACTATGGCACACTGCACAAGCTTCTCCGCAGCGAAACCCCGAGCATGCATCTCACCACCGCCACCGCCGGCATTGGCGCCACCGTCGCAACAATCACTTGCGGCGCGACGTTTTCCGAGATCCAGTCGCTCGTCGCATTCACCAGCGAGCACAGCAGCATCTTGTATCGCGGCATCACATATCGCGGATTCGCACGGTCTCACTGCTTCGTTTTCGGTCCCCGCGTCACCGCCAGTCACAGACTCACAGTGTTGCTCATCCCAGAGGACGATTTCCGCCTCCGCCGCCGCCGCCGCCGCCTCCGCACGTTTACAGCAGAACGGAAACCGTTTCGCAAACGCACACAACATTTCGTCTGGCCGCTCACGACCGTTCGATTCGTCACGCGGAAGAGAGCGATTGGCCGTCCGTTGCGGGGCGGCTGGCAATGCGAGTAGTCGCGCCTCCCCATTCGCCGCCAGAGTTGCCGCGGAGCCCGCAAGCGCGCGCGGATGGCGGATATGGGGAGGTGAAGGGGGAGGCAGATGGGGCGGGGACGGGGGAGGGAGACGGGGAGGGGAAGGTGTAAGAAGACGAGGAGGCGGGGGACTGGCGCAAGGGAGGCGGAGAGAAGGAGGCGGGGCAGGCGAGGGGAAGGCGCGGGCCGTGGGGGGCGCAGTGGCGGAAGGGGCAGCGGCGGGGAGGGCGGCGGAGGAGACCGTGCTGGAGGTGCGGCGCGTGAGCTTCCAGCCGCACGGGTCTGACAGCTGGCTGCTCACTGACGTGTCGCTCTCGCTTCCTAAGAACAGGTCTCTCTCTCTCCCTCAGCTCTCCCCGCTCCTTCCCCCTCCTCCCCTCTTCTCCTCCCCGCTTCTCCTCCCCGCTTCTCCTCCCCGCTTCTCCTCCCCGCTTCTCCTCCCCGCTTCTCCTCCCCGCTTCTCCTCCCCGCTCCTCCTCCCGCTTCTCCTCCCCGCTTCTCCTCCCCGCCCTCCCCGGTCCTCCCCGGTCCTCGCCGCCCTCCCCTCCCTTCCCGCCCTTCCCGCTTCTCCCCACCCACCCCGTTCTCCCTGCTCTCCCCCATGCCATGTGCAGCAGGAACGCTTTCCGTGGCACCAGCTGCTATGGTAGGGGTGAATGGTTGCACGTCTCTTCCATGCTTCTCGCCTGCTTCTCGTTTCTCGTGCTTCTCTTCTCCCATGCCTCTCCCATGCCTCTCGCATGCCTTGCCTGCATCAATCAACTTCTCCCCCTCTGCCATTCCGACCCTGCCACCCGACCCTGCCACCCGACCCTGCCACCCGACCCTGCCACCCGCCCCGGCAACCCGACCCTGCCACCCGACCCTGCCACCCGCCCCGGCAACCCGACCCTGCACGACACGACAGCCTAGGGCTCATCTTCGGCCGCAGTGGGGGCGGCAAGACCACTCTCCTGCAGGTACGCCTGCTGCCATGCTGCCACACTGTTCGTAATCAGTACTCCCAGCACCACTGCCACATTACTCGCCTGTCAACCCACCGCCACCCAGCACACTGCACATTGCAGCGTCTTTCAAGGCGCCTCAAATCCTCATCCAGCACGGTGCAACGCACGCACACCCCCCCTCCCCCCCCCCCCCCCCCTCCCCCCTCTCCCCCCTCCCCCTTCCACATGACATCGCATTCACTGCGTTTTTTGTTTTTTTTTCCTTCGTACCTGACTGTTTCAATCATAAGTTCTTCCCAATTCACGGCCTCGTTCTCAGCCATTCCATGCATAGGATGGTTATGGGTGGGTGGTTAAGGTGAGGCCTGAGATGAGCTGATTGGGGGGATAACCGTCCCATGCATGTTCCCTCTTCCCCATCAGCTCATCCCGGGCCTCACCATAACCACCCACCCACCCACTGCACAGCACCATAGCGGTACTAGGTGCAGTGGGTGACTTTTGAGTCGACTCAAAAGCCACCCACTGCACAGCACCATAGCGGACCTAGGTGCAGTGGGTGGTGGTGGGGCCATCGGGAAGAATTTATGAAAGGCGATGGGGCCCCACCACCACCCACTGCACCATAGCGGTACTAAGTGTGGAGCGTGACAAAACTCGTCCTCTTCCTCTCCCCCTCCTGCCACCTGTCCCTCCCCTCCCCCCCTCCTCCCTATCAGCTCCTATCAGGTCTCACAACCCCCACTCAGGGCACCATAGCCATGCCGACACCTTCCCCTCGCTTCCTCTCACCATCTACCCCCTCGTTCTCTTCCTCCCCTCCCCCATGCCACCTCCCTCCCCCACCCCATCAGCTCCTATCAGGTCTCACCACCCCCACTCAGGGCACCATAGCCATGCCGGCACCTTCCCCACCATCCCTTTCTGCCTCCTCCTCGCCCGCCTCAATCTCCCCGCCTTCGCCCGCCCTCATCCCTCTCTCACGCGCTGAGCTCTCTGAGAGGGTCGGCATTGTCTTTCAGTTCCCTGAACGGTGAGTCCCTCCCCTTGCCCCTTCGCCCCTTAGATGGGCGTTTCCCCCTTGTCATGCTTCTTCTGCTGCCCCCTTCCGCTGCCCCTCCCTCTCTGTTCTTTCCCCGTCATTACTCTTCCCCTCTCCCCCCACCCCACTTTCGTTTCGCCACTCCATCTGTCTCCTTCCTCCATCACACTCGCCCTCTCTCCCCCCTGCTCCCCAGCTGCCCCCCTCTCTCATTAACCCCAAAACTATCCCCCTTCCCTCATCCCCCCCTCCCCGCCCCATCCCCCGCATCTCCCCCTCCCCATATCACCGCATCCTCCCCCCCAGCTAATTTCCTCACAGACGGTGTGCTGGCAGAGCAGAGCTCACATTCTGCTGGCAGAGCAGAGCTCACATTCTGCTGGCAGAGCAGAGCTCACATTCTGCTGGCAGAGCAGAGCTCACATTCTGCTGGCAGAGCAGAGCTCACATTCTGCTGGCAGAGCAGAGCTCACATTCTGCTGGCCTTCACAAGTGAGCCGCGAGCTGCCCTCGTGCTGCCTTCCCCTAACCTCCCTCCATCCTCACATGCCCTTACCCCTTCCCCCCCCCCCACCTCACCAGCTACTTCCTCACGGATAGTGTGTTGGCAGAGCTCACATTCGGCTGGCCCTCTCGGGTGCAGGCAGGAGTGAGCTGCCGTCTTGCTGCCTTCCCCCACCCTTCCCCCATCCCCGCATGCCCATTCCCTCTTCTCCCCCAGCTACTTCCTCACAGACAGTGTGCTGGCGGAGCTCACCTTCGGCTGGCCCTCACGAGTGGAGGACATTCCTCTCCGCCAGGCGCTGGCTGCGCGTGTGCAGGCTGCACTCATCGCGGTGAGGGATGGTGCGGTGGGCTAGGGTGGGGTGGGGTGGGGTGGAGTGGGGTGGGGTGGGTTAGAGTGGGTGTGTAAGCAGGCAGTGCACTTCAATGTCATGGGTCGAGGACATTCCTCTCCCCCAGGCGTTGGCTGCCCGCGTGCAGGCGGCGCTCATTGCGGTGAGGAGTTGTGGGGTAGACTGAGGTGCAGTGAGGTGGAGTGCGGTGGGCTGGTAAGCAGGCGGTGCACTGCAGAGCCACGAGTGGAGGACATTCCACTCCGAAAGGCCCTGGCTGCCCGCGTGCAGGCGGTGCTCATTGCGGTGAGGGGGAGGAGTGAGGTGGGGAGGAGTGAGGTGGGGAGGAGTGAGGTGGGGAGGAATGAGGTGGGGAGGAGTGAGGTGGGGAGGAGTGAGGTGGGGTGGAGTGAGGTGGGGTGGAGTGTGGTGGGGTGGAGGTGGGGTGGAGTGAGGTGCGGTTGGCTGGGTAAGCATGATGTCACAGGTGGAGGACATTCCACTCCGGCAGGCGCTGGCTGCCTGCGTGCAGGCTGCTGTCATTGCGGTGAGGAGTTGTGGGGTAGACTGAGGTGCAGTGAGGTGGAGTGCGGTGGGCTGATAAGCAGGCGGTGCACTGTAGTGTCACGAGTGGAGGACATTCCCCTCTGACAGGTGCTGGCTGCGCGCATGCAGGCCGCACTCATTGCTGTGAAGGGTAGAGTGGAGTGGTGGTGAGGGGTTGAGTGGAGTGGTGGTGAGGGGTTGAGTGGAGTGGTGGTGAGGGGTTGAGTGGAGTGGTGGTGAGGGGTTGAGTGGAGTGGTGGTGAGGGGTTGAGTGGAGTGGGTGCACTGCAGTGTCACGAATGGAGTGGGGGACATTCCACTCCAGCAGGCGCTCTCTCGCTCCAATTTGCTTAAGCGTTTCTTCAGGTTTGCAGCTATTCCATTATGAGTTTGGACACACTCCACTCTGGCAGGCGCTCGCTCGCTGCGCGCGTGCAGGCGGCAGCAACCCACATGGTTTCATCTCGTCCCACGTTCTACCTCCTCCTCTCCCACGCTCACTAACCCCCCACACACAGGTGGGGCTAATGGGCGTGGCTCTGGACACCAACCCGCATGCTCTCAGCTAGTCCCTCCCTCTGCATCCTCCTCTCCCACACTCACCCTCCTTTCCACGTCCCTCAACCGCCCACTCCCCCTCTCCCCCCAACTTCCCAACACACAGGTGGGGCTAATGGGAGTGGCTCTGGACACCAACCCGCGTGCGCTCAGTGGGGGCAACCAGCGCCGCCTTGCTCCCACTTATCCCCCCTTCCCCCCCCCCCTCACACCCCACGCACCTGCAGGTGGGGCTAATGGGAGTGGCGCTGGACACCAACCTGCGTGCTCTCAGTTCGTCCCTCCCTCAACGTCCTCCTCTCCCCCACTCACCCCCCTTCCCTCCTCCCTCCACCCACATCAACACAGGTGGGGCTAATGGGAGTGACCCTAGACACCAACCCGCGTGCGCTCAGTGGGGGCAACCAGCGCCGACTTGCCCTCGCTATCCAACTCGTCAGTACACCCTCCTCTCCTCTCCGTTTCTCCCCACACCTGAGTAATTAATGGTGAAGGCAGGCGCCTCGTGCTGCCCTCGTGCTGCCCTCGTGCTGCCCTCGTGCTGCCCTCGTGCTGCCCTCGTGCTGCCCTCGTGCTGCCCTCGTGCTGCCCTCGTGCTGCCCTCGTGCTGCCCTCGTGCTGCCCTCGTGCTGCCCTCGTGCTGCCCTCGTGCTGCCCTCGTGGTTCCTTGTCTGGGTTCCTTGTCTGGGTTCCTTGTCTGGGTTCCTTGTCTGGGTTCCTTGTCTGGGTTCCTTGTCTGGGTTCTGTGTCTCAAAGACACGAAGCCAGTACAGCAGCAGCACCGAGCTCAGTTCACGATGCCATGGCTGGTTCTAAGTTGTTTAAAGAACCAGCTCAATCCACGTCACGATGCCATGGTTGGTTCTAAGTTGTTTAAAGAACCAGCTCAATCCACGTCACGATGCCATGGTTGGTTCTAAGTTGTTTAAAGAACCAGCTCAATCCACGTCACGATGCCATGGTTGGTTCTAAGTTGTTTAAAGAACCAGCTCAATCCACGTCACGATGCCATGGTTGGTTCTAAGTTGTTTAAAGAACCAGCTCAATCCACGTCACGATGCCATGGTTGGTTCTAAGTTGTTTAAAGAACCAGCTCAATCCACGTCACGATGCCATAGTTGGTTCTAAGTTGTTTAAAGCACCAGCTCAATCCACGTCACGATGCCATGGTTGGTTCTAAGTTGTTTAAAGAACCAGCTCAATCCACGTCACGATGCCATGGTTGGTTCTAAGTTGTTTAAAGAACCAGCTCAATCCACGTCACGATGCCATGCTTCAATCACCGACTGCTTCCTTTGTCCCTACCCTTGCCGCACGACATTCCAACCAACTTCCCGCACCTGTTTCTCAGGTTCGGATGCCGGAGCTGCTGCTGCTGGACGAACCTCTTGCTGGGCTCGGTACGTGTAATGATTGATAATTGATGATTGATGATAGATGGCCCTCAAGTGCCCGCCTGACTGCTTGAAAACCATGAAATGCCTCAATAGTGCGCTAGCTGCTATGAGCTACGGGCTTGCCTCTTCGATTGAAACGAAATGGTTAATCGAAACAGCTGAAGGCTCTGCGTACAGGTCATTCGGCACCATTGTTTGTTATTCTTCTTCTTCCTCCCTCTCTCTTCTGTCTTGCGTCTTTTTTTGTCCTGCCTCCTTTGCGCCCTTCGATCCCCTCTCTCTCCTCTCCTCATCATCAACCAGACTGGAGGGCGAGGGCGGACGTGGTGAGGCTGCTGGCGGCACTCAAGAGGGAACGCTCCATCCTTGTCGTCAGCCACGACCTCAGGTGATTCTTGTCGTCAGCCACGACCTCAGGTGATTCTTGTCGTCAGCCACGACCTCAGGTGATTCTTGTCGTCAGCCACGACCTCAGGTGATTCTTGTCGTCAGCCACGACCTCAGGTGATTCCTGTTGTCACCTCAAGTACATCCTCAGGTAATTCTTGATGTCAGCCACGACCTCAGGTGAATTCTTAGGGTCTTCATGAATTGAGTGGGTATTTCATGTGATGCTTCAGGGTTTCATGTGCTTTTTACGAACGAAGATATTCCCATTCCCCAGATTCACCATCTCCCTCATGTGATTCCTTAAGTAGGAACTCATGCCCTCCCTGTTGTCAGCTCGTGTTTACGATTCATTATTATCACATTTGCCCTCCGTCTCTCTGCAGGGAGTTGGCCCCGTTAGTGGATCGCTCGTGGCGGATGCAGATGGGGGGAAGGCTGAGGGAGGAGCCGCTACCAGCAGCCGTGTCAGATGACGAAGGAGACGTGAATTTCCCCTGGCGAGCGTGATGTTGTATGAACATGATGTGAACGATCGCAGTGCAGTGTGCATCCTCAATGGGAAGAACCACTACCAGCAGCTGTGTCGAATGATGACGGCGGCGTGAATTTTCCCTGGTGAGCGTGGGATGAAGAAGTGGCCTGGCTTTGGCTCGGGAGCGGTGTGGTGTGTCTGGTGCAACCAGTGACCTTCATCCATTTCATACCACAGGATCAAACAACCAGTGACGAATCAACCTTCTTTAGCTGGTTTGGATGACAAAATGGATGTGAGCATTCATTTTTTTTGACAGATTGCAGCCTTACGGTAGTAAGGGGTGAATATCTCTTGTTATAGAACAGTGGGATATTAATTTGAACGAGGGGCTTGATACGGTGTCTGAAATAATTTCGCATGCATATATTTTTTCAACGTTAGCTTGAACAGATTAGAGCTAGCAAATTTGGCCAGGGTGGAGGATAATGTGTAACACCAATTCAGTTAATTCGGAAACCTTTTTTTCAGTAACGCGTATGCGCACATACTTCACGAAGAGAATCTGTGGCCGTCTGTCCGCGAGTAGTTATGCAGGGAAAGTTGTAAGCACCACCAAATCCCCGACGCGTCTCGCGTCTCGCGTTACGTCTCCCGCCATCGTGCGTACCGTCCCTCCAGTCAACGACACCACCACGAGTGGTGGTCGCTTTCACTTTTGCGTTCATTTTGAAACGGCCCAATTTGAACGTAATTAAGCAACGCGCTAATAGAATCCCACCATGGACCAGTCGAAGCGCGGTCCAAGGGCGGGCGACGCGGAGGTCGTGGATACGGCGAGCATTCCGGCGGGCATTGCCTCGGGTGCCGTGGAAAGAATCTCAGAGGGGGGCGAGATGGCGGAGAGGGATGCGGAGGGTGGCGAGCGGGCGGAGAAGGCGGAGAGGGCCGCGGAGAAGGGGGCGGAGGCGGCGGGAGGGGAGAGCGGCGCAGCGGACGAGCTGAGGGCGCGCGTGGGCCGTCGGATGGCGAAGAAGATCAAGAAGGTGGTGGCGGCGGGAAAAGGCGACGCGAAGCACTACTACGACGTGTACGGCGCGCAGGTAGGCGCGCGGAGGGTGGGATTAGGGGGGGGGGGGGGGGGGGGGGGGGGGGGGGGGGGGGGGGGGGAGGGGGAGGGGGAAGAGAGAGCAGGGGGGGAGGGACAGGGGGTGTGCGGTGTTGAGTGCGGTGTTGAGTGCGGACAGACGTGGGGGGGAGTATTTGGGGGCCGCAGGTGTATGGGCGGGGCCGCGGGGCGAGGGGGATACTCTCCAACAAGGGCGGCAGCCAAGCGCTAATACTATGATGTGTATGACCCACGCGCAGGCAGGTGAGTGAGGGGGGAGGGGTTGGATTAGCAGATGCCCGCATGTATGGGTGCAGTCAGGCATGTATGGGTGCAGTCAGGCATGTATGGGTGCAGTCAGGCATGTATGGGTGCAGTCAGGCATGTATGGGTGCAGTCAGGCATGTATGGGTGCAGTCAGGCATGTATGGGTGCAGTCAGGCATGTATGGGTGCAGTCAGGCATGTATGGGTGTAGTCAGGCATGTATGGGTGCAGTCAGGCATGTATGGGTGCAGTCAGGCATGTATGGGTGCAGTCAGGCATGTATGGGTGCAGTCAGGCATGTCCCTCAAACTCAAACCGACCCCTCCCGCCCCCTGAATCTCCCCCACCCACCGACCCCTCCCGCTGGGTTTCATTCCATCTGCCAGAGCGCACGCCAACCGTCTCCCTTCTCTCGCCCGTTTCCCCCTTTCCTGTTCCCCCAATCACTCCCCGCCCCTTCTCCCCATTCCCCCCTTACTCCCCCCTCTTTCCTCTCCCACCCCCTCCTCCCCTTCCCCCTCAGGCGCGCGCAGAGCTGGAGCTGCGCCCGCCTGTGGGCAAGGGCGCAGAGCAGCGCGCCAAGCCTCTCAGTTTCACTGTCAGTGCCTCTGGGGTTGAGGGGTTTCGGGGTGAGGGGTGAGGGGTTGAGGATTTTGGTGTTAAGGGGTTTGGGGCCTGAGGGGTTCGGGTTTCAGAGGCAAGGGATTCGGGGATGAGATGAGATGAGAGGCACACTGCTCGTGAGTGAGTGAGTGAGTGAGTGAGTGAGTGAGTGAGATGCCTTCAGCACGCTCACTTGCATGCTGTCCCCAGCCTGACTACTTACTTTCCAGGCGCCTCAAAAGTCGTGGATGAGAGAGATGAGAGGCACATAGTTTGTGAGCCGCCCTCGGCTCAGAACGCTCACTTTGCATGCCGCCCCGTCTCCAGCCTGACTATGTCCGTGCCACTCTGCCTCGCCTGGTTTGGCAGGATGTGCAGGATTTGATTCTCTGGGTGCTCACAGGGGAGGTCAACCCGCAGTGGGCATTTATCAAGGTGGGCAGCAGCATGTAGATAGATCTACATGCATAATGAAAGTTAATCTTCCATTTATTCTTAACCTTGTTCCGCTGTACTTTTGCCAAAGCATTGACATCTGGTCTTGCATACACATGGCTGCTTGCACTCGCTGGCAGTTGCAGGGTACTACTACCAAGCATACCAATTTTGAGTCCTCTCATTGAAATACGAAACTCGGCCTTCTACTGGAGTGTTTTTAAGGCCAAAACAACCTCCATCATGTTTCGAGTGTTAGTAATATACACTTCCCTTCATCATCTCTTCTCCCCCCCATTCCCCCCTCCCTCCTCACCAATTCTGATACAAGCCGCTGGTATCAAGGGTGGTGCTGCTGGTGCAGCAACTAATTGATTCTTCCCCCTTTCCCTCATTTCCCCCCCTCTACTTTCCCCCCTTTCCCCGATTTCCCCGCTTTCCCCCATTTCCCCCTTTTCTCCCCTCCCTCCTCACCCGCCCTGGCAGAACAAGCCGCTGGTATCAAGGGTGGTGGTGCTGCTGACGCTTCTGGTGCCAGGAATCATTTCTTTTCTCCTTTTCCCCCCATTTCCCCCTCTGCCCCTCTGCCCCTCTCCCCCTCTCCCCCTTGAACGTTCTGCAGAACAAGCCGCTGGTATCAAGGGTGGTGGTGCTGCTGGTGCCGGGAATCGACGCCCATACGTTCCACTCCCGCCCGGACCTCTTCCCGAACCTGCACCGCTGCTTCGGCAGCAAATCTCTGCCGTTGAAGGCTGTGAGGTAAGGAAGCGTGTCCTCATTCTCATCTCCCTTTTCCTCCCCTCAAGCCCTTCCCTATTTTCCTTCCCTCCGTTTCACTCTTCCCCTCATCTCGTGCTACTTGATCCTCATCTCGTGCTACTTGATCCTCATCTCGTGCTACTTGATCCTCATCTCGTGCTACTTGATCCTCATCTCGTGCTACTTGATCCTCATCTCGTGCTACTTGATCCTCATCTCGTGCTACTTGATCCTCATCTCGTGCTACTTGATCCTCATCTCGTGCTACTTGATCCTCATCTCGTGCTACTTGATCCTCATCTCGTGCTACTTGATCCTCATCTCGTGCTACTTGATCCTCATCTCGTGCTACTTGATCCTCATCTCGTGCTACTTGATCCTCATCTCGTGCTACTTGATCCTCATCTCGTGCTACTTGATCCTCATCTCGTGCTCTTTCTGCCTCTCTTCCTCCCCCATCTCCACATTCCGCCCTACATCCTTATCTCGTGATCTAATTGCTCCCCTAACAGCCCGTCAGCCCATTCCCCCATCCCCCCATTCCCCCATCCCCCCATCCCCCCATCCAGTCAGCACAGGGTTGTTTCCCTTGCCTGAATCTTGACGGGCTGACTGGATGGGGGAAGCACTAGCTGTGCCTTCCCATCAGTCTTCCCTCCCCCACGCATCCCCCCATTCCGCACAATGTCCAATACAACAAGTGCCCTGCTCTCACCACCCGTTGTTTCTTGAAACGCCACTAGCACTGCCTTCCCACTGTCTTTCCCTCCTCCTCTGACCCTCCCCCTCCCGCCCCCCCATCAGCCCAGCAGCAACGGTGTCAGACACTATGAAGGCCATGTTTGCACGACCCATTGCTCTCAAGGTGCTCTTTTCACCAAAGGGTGATTGGTCATGGCAGGGGGGGTGGTCATGGCAGGGGGAAGCATGTGTCGGCATTTTCGTTGTGCTGTCTATTACGAGGAGAGGTAGCATGTAGTCTGACATGAACCAATTCAGACCACAGAGGGCAACCCTCGACTTTATATTTTTGTCATTTGCCGCCCATTATTCAACTGCTTGCCACCCATTTGTTAAGTTCCTTGCTGCACATAATCGACAATTTTACCGGTCGTTATTGTTTGCCGGCCAGTATTCGCTTCCCTACTGGCCATATTTGCTTTGCCTCTCTGGCGCCCGCTTTTCACCACTTTGCCGCCCCCAGAAAAGCACCAGCTCGTCGTCTGCCAAATCAGCTGCTGCCACGTCAGCACATGCGGACAGCAAGGCAGGAGCAGGTGTGACAAACGATGTGAGCTGTGAAAGCAAGGAGGGGACGAGTAGAGAGACACAGGGGGGTGAGGGCAAGCGGACGAGTGAGAAGGATAATGAGGATGAGGATGATGAGGAAAAGGAGGAAGGCGAGGACGAGGAGGAGGAGGAGGAGGGAGAGGTTTTTGATTCTGAAAGTGAGGGGGAAGGAGGGGAAGGAAAGGGAGAAGGGGAGGTGGGGAGGGAGGAGGGGGAAGAGGGGAGGGACAACACAGAAGGTGGTAAAAAGAGGAAGGCAGAGGTGCTGGATGATGGGGGAGGGGAAGAAGAAGAGGAAGGGGAAGGGAGAAGCAGCAAGGTCATGAAGACAAATCAGGAGGGAGAGCGGGGAGTGTGTGTTGTTGCAAGGAGCACCCTAGACATGCCGGTGCCACCACTTCCCTCCTCTCCCTCTTTCCCGTCCTCCTCACTCCCTTTCAAGTCCAAG